GATTCAGTACTGTTACACTATTAGAAAAAAATTATTTATCTAAAATAAGAAGACAGCTAAGGAATAATACATTTTGATAACAAGTAGTAGTAATAATAAATAATAATAATGAGACGATAGCGATAATAAATTATTAGGTTACAATTCCATAACATTATTGTTATTAAAATCTTCATCCTCACTCAAACTTTCCCATTCACCATCATCTTCACCGTCATCATCTTCACCACCTTCTTCGTTAGATGTTGAATTCTTCACTGAATTTTCTATTATTTTCAATAACTCTTGAGTGTGTTGTAAAATGTCTTGATCATCATAATCTAATTTATGGTATAACTATAAATTTATGTAGAATTAATTTTTAAATCTATTATCATAATAATTGTAATAAATATAAATATAAAATAATAATTATCCAAATATTATTATTTACGTTTTTGCAAGTAATCAAACACTCCTGAGAATCCTCCAAATGAATTTGCTGATCACCTTCATTTTCCGTTTCCTCACTCATACAAAAATAACACCAACCATAAAGATACCATAAATCAACCACTTGATCATTTTCTTTTTGTAAAGTCTCAAGTACCAAAAGAGCCTTTGTATATTCAGAGAGTTCCAATAACAACTTTACTAATGATATTCTTGTTTCATATGATGGTATCGATGATGATGGGTGATTATAATCTGACTCATAATTATTATTAATCCAAAGACTTAAACTCTTTTCTAAAGCAACTTTAGCTTCTTCGTTTCTTTCTTGAGAAAGTCTTACTGAAGCTAGGCATTGAAATATTTCCGGATTGGTTGGATCGATTTCTACAGCTTGATTTAAATAATTCTCACATTTTATTTCAGCATCTGATTCATAACTAAATATGATAATGTTGAAAAATTATTAATATTTTTTTTTGTAATCAAGTTATAATTGATGAATGAATGAATGATTTAAAAACATATTTACCAACAATCTGTCAAATATATTTCAACCATTGAACATAAAGCAGAAGAAATTTTACGCTTTAAAATTTCCTTTGATTTAATGTCATCATCATCATCATTACTTCCTTCTCCTGCATTCTCTCTTTCATCTTCTAAATTATTATTATTATTATTATTATTATTATTATTATTATTATTATTATAATTATTATTATTATTCGATTGATGAAATTCTTCAATCATTAGATTTACTCCTTTTTGAAAATTTGAAATTGCTTCTAAACCATTTGTCAATTGACCCATATACATGTATTTTGAGTAACCTTGATTTGGATTTATCGAAATCGCTTTAGAAAAATGCTAAAATAATATTTATCAAAGTAATTGGTCAAATACTCTTTGATTCCTTGATTGACTCGGCCTTCTTTCTTCTTGTCTTATTTTTAAACAAATGAATAAATACCTCTTTAGCTTCTTCAAACATTTCCAATTCAATTTCATTCACGCCCAAAATTTCCAAAACTTTTGTGCTGTTTGGGTCTAAACTTAATGCTCTTAAACAAAATTTCAATGCCAATTCGTAATCACAAGTATCCATTAACGAATCAACCTTGGATATCAAATCATTAATTGTGTATGGTGAGTTTGTATTTGCTGGTCCTTCATCTTTATTTGAAAGTGTCGATTTTGAGGTTGTTGATTTTATTAAAGGCGATGAGGTTAAATCATCATTTATTGATACAGAAGAAGTCATTTTAGATATTAATTTTAATTTATTATATAAATAAAAAATTTTGAAAAAGATGATGTAGATCTTTTCTTAATAAAAAAGTATATCATTATGGTCTATGATTTACCAATATAAATCAACGCGTTTTAAACATGGATGGACATAAATCGTTTATTATTATTATCACGAGAGGATTTAAAGAGGTAGATTTTGTTATTTGTTTATTCATTTGTTTCTTTTTATTATTATTATTATCATTATCATTATCATTATTGTTATTATTGTCATTATTATTATTATTGTTCTCATAATCATCACCAATCTAGCCTTCCGCCTTTTCCTGGACCAAAACTTCCATTCATTGATCCACGATACAAATCTCTTATTACCTTTCCTTCGATAACAGTTGATTCTATTATGTTTTCAACATGACATGGAATCACATGACCATACCATATGCCTTGACCATCTCGATAAACTATAACATTGCCGGCATATTTATGACCTATAAAAAACAAATATGTATAGAAAAAATTTTTTATCAAATATAAAGTAGAACTTATTTTGATATATAGATAATTATATATATTTATTTATTTATTTACCTCCAGTATGACTACTTAAAAACACAGCCACGCCTTCATTTTTTTTATTTTCTACATCCAAACCTCTATCTTTTAAAATTCTATCAAATTCATTTTTTAATATTGGGCCTGTTATGCCACATCTTTTATCACGACGTCTATGTGAACATATTACTATGACAGCTTTGTATGGTATCGGATCTACTTGAAAATTAGTTGAAGAATAAATATTTTGTTCTTGATTTGACAATGACGGCGGCGGCTGCGGCGTTGATGATGGTGATGGTAATAAAAATTTTTTAAAAAATTCTAAAGCATTTTTTGGATTTACATTATAAATTAAAATATTATCAGGGAATAGAAGAACATCATTCCCTTTTGAAAATTTTAAATCTTTATCAGTGTTTACTCGATCACAGTTAGTAATAACTATACGAAGCAATTTTTCTAATTCTATGTTATTATTAGTGATGCTGTTATCTTTATCTTTATTGTTGTTGTTGTTGCCAAAATCTTTCGCATTATAATCATTATCATCTGAATCAACTTTTTTTCTTTCGTCTTTTTTGTCGTTATCACTGCCATCACCACCAGATTTAATAATTTTATGTAATTGACTTGCTAAACTTGGTTATCATCTACATTAATATGCTTACAAAAATTACATGGAAATTCTGTTCGCCAATTTTTTTCACAAGTTCCATGATGATATAATTTCCAACCATTACACATTTCCAGATCATGCAAAAGAGCAGAAGATAAAACTGAATTAGCTAATGATAATGATAACGAGGATGTATTCGAATTCCTCAGTATTTATTATTTTTTTCAAGATTAATAGTTGCAATTGCTGGTGAAGGTTAGAAAGAGGATAAATTTAACTAAAAACAGTCCACTTTGTTTTTAATAGTTTCTCGGTAAGCAACTTGCGACTTATCCACATAACATCGCCTCCCAAAAACTTTTGATGATTACTTTCTAACCCAATCATTTACAACGGTTTGTCCATACGTTTTTCATCACTAAATTTCTTTGCAGCTTCTCAGATGGCTTTTTTTACCAATATTCAACCAACTTCAAAATAAAGATCATGTTTAATCTTGATGTATGATCGATTATTTACAAGAATGCTATTCTAGGAAAATCCACAATGGAAGTAAAAACGGTCTGTGTAATCAATAATTGCAGCCTATTTAATTTCTGAGAGAGAGAAAAAATGTGAACGTGCGTAAATTATATTAGTTACCATAAATTCCATAATTATATAATTAATTATAACGCTCAGCACCTTGAAGATCTATCTATAATCTTCAAAATCATATTTTCATCACACAATAAAATATTTATTTACCTTCTAATCCAAGATAGCAATATTGATCTTTAAGATGGGCCCATTTAGACAAAACAATTGTGATATTTTTTTCTCGATGCCTGCCAAAAACGTTCGATATTGACTGAAAAAAATTTGGTCTGGGAACACTTGAAGTAATTCCTGATTGAACATTTGGATGTGAATCAATAAGATTGTTTATTAGTAATATAGATAAAAATAGAGATATTAATAATCTAATGAAAATGATATAATATTAGTAAACACATTGTAATCAATACATTAGTTAACATTTACCTAGAGGTTTATTCAAAGGGAGACTTTATCATTATTAAGTTTGTTCTTTTGTGGAAAATGTTGTTATTGTTGTTGTTGTCATTATATTTTTACTCTTTCTATTTCACTTATTGAATTGTCAGAACCTTGACTAGATTTTCTTTTATCAGTAGCTATTAATATATTATTATTCATCATAACAACGTCTTTGATAATATAGAGTTTAGAGAAATAAACATAAAAATTTAAACGTTGGATTAAATATTTTACATATAAATGAATACATACCTTTTGGTGATGAATGATGAATATGATGTTGTTGTTTCGATGCAGTGAAATGCAGGAAATTTTTAAAATCTGATTGTTACCTTGATGATAATCTTCCAAAAATTTTATATTACGAATGATACCATTAAAGATGGTTAGAAGATAGAGACTATTTCTATATAGATAATGTAAATCAAGTGAACTTTGTTGCTTTTCTTCTTGTTGCTGATAAAAATTGTGTCGGTTTCGTAATTGTTATTTGAAGAAAGGAATTTTAAATTTTTTATAAAAAAAACTTGTATATATGAGGTTTCTATTTATATTTCTGCAGCAACTAATGACCGAGATATGCTATATATAACTTTGCATTCATAAACAAGACCATGTAACAAATATTGTTCTTAACATTTGATCATTTGATTGACCTTGTAGAAAACCGAGGTTTCTCCAACAATGAAGAGTAAAGAGTGATCAATGAAGTTGACGGTCAAGCATTTAATATGACTACCATTAGGATCTTGTTCAGTCATAATTATATATTTTCCATAAAATAAGCCAGCCATAGGACTAAATTTTTCTATTTTGAGAGCTAATCTTCCCCAACAACAAAAATTTTTCGATGAATTCCTTTACCTTTTTTGTAGTAAATTTTGCAAGTATTATATAATATATATATAAATTTTATATAAAAATAAACATAAGCTCACTCACTATAGTTACAACCACACATGCTTATAAGGACGTTTTCAAATTTTCACTTAATGGTGTAAGACAAAAACCCTCCTCCAAAAATCACATTAATTTAATATAATTCTTTCCCATGTTTGGTTAAAATTTTTTCCTCAAAATTCAAACGAGGTATGGAGGTGACAAAGTTGAAGGCTTAGTAGTTTGTAGAATAAATAATTGTCAGTTCTAATTCGGTAAGAATGATCTGATAATCAATCATCGGGCATAAAAATTCGATAATTATAATTTTAAATAATAAAAAATCTGATAACTTATTTTATATTTAATAAATTTTTTTTAAGAATAAACGAAAAGATTCTTTTTCTTCTTCCTGTCAACAAATTAGCTTTATTT